TTCTTGTGACGAAATTCTCGCTGCCCGCCGCCGGGGGCAGCAGCGGCAGCGGCGGCGGCTTTGCGCGACTTGTCGGAAGAGGAAGATATAACCCAAGGCAAGGACGGGTACGGACAATGGCCGCCATCCCCACCGGCGCCGGAGACCGGTGTTGGTGGCGGTACTCCTAGCGCGACCGCCCCGGCTGCCGCTACTGGTGCCGATTCCGGAGGAGTCGGGACGGGTGCGGACGCGGCGACCGCAGGCGCGAGCCCCGCCATCGCTGCCGGCGGCATCACCGGCGGCGGCGGCGGCGGCGGCCGGGGTAGCCGACGGACGGGGGGGCAAGAAGAGTGCGACGGCTGCGAGGTTAGCGCCGCCAACGCGGACGAGGACGACGCCGACGAGGACGACTCCATGTCCGAGGCCAATCAGAGGGTCCTGGCGGCGAAGACGAGGACGCGGCGAGTGGGCATGGCCGTGATAACCAGGCTAGGGAAGCGGGCAGCCGCCGCCGCCCCGCAGCACGATGGCTCCGGTCGCGGTGTCAGCAGCGGCGGCGCCGAAGGCGAAGTAGGCGCGGCGAAACCGGCACAGGCAGCGGCGACGGTGGAGGCAAGCGAGGAGGTGCGGCAGCGGCGGGAAGAGCGCCCTCAAGCGGCGCAATCTAAACCGGTTGGGAGCGAGGGCGGCGGTAGCGGTGCGCCGAACGGGGACGCGGCGGGTTCGTCGAAGAAGCGGCCTCTGTCAGCGTTGGGGGTGCTGGCCCCCAGCGGCTGTCGCCGAGAGGCGGCGTCGGGGAAGAGGAGGGTTGGGGAGCAGGGGGCGAGAGTGCCGTCGTCGCCGTCGTCCCTGTCGTCGGTGTCTGACGACGGTCAGCCACAGGTGCACGAGGCGGGGAACAGCCAGATTTTTTCGTTCCGTTTCGTTTTCGTCGGACCGCTATCTGTATGTTTTTTACCTTTTCTGTGCATGATTCAGTCCCGACATCGCAGTGCGAAGCGGTTGTGCAGAACGCAGAGATGCTCTTTTTTTGAACGCATGAGATTCTCTTTTTTCGTTTGGCGTTTCTCGGACTGCTAGATTTTCTTCTTTTCTGTGCCCCGCTCAGACTATGTCCGAGCATCGAAGTAGAATATGTTGTGCGTGAACGCATGCTCACAAAGATAAGGATTGGGCTCGGGGGAGGGACGACGGTATATGGAGTACCAGGTAGACGTGACGAAGAAACCACTTGAGAACCTCGCTGCTCGCTGCGTCGTCATGGCACCACTCGGAGGATACATCGAGCGTAGAAACATGGCCAAAGCACGCTCGCGAGGCACAGCATTTAACATGAATGCGTTGGTTGATCTCGTCGTCGTCTTCTTTTGTTTTTCCCTTACAAAAACACGGCGAATTAATTCATCTCTATCCGCAGGCCGGCATAAACTATAGCATTCGCGGACACACCTATGTTTTTGTTTATATTTTTCCTACGGTCGTCGCGAAAACAAATATAATGACAACGAAATAAATCACCCTCCTTGGCTCTCTCTGACTCGAGGTGCAGCCATCCAGCGCGGACGTGGAGAGCGTCCTATTCGAGGAGGCACCGAGGCGACTGAGGTGGTGGAACTGCGTGGCTCTCGTGCCGCGCTTCGTCGGCACCATTCTCGACCTTCTGCACGAGGTATGCTGTTGTTGTTGGTCGTGGTGCTTGCTGTTGCTGTTGCTGTTACTGTTGCTGTTGCTGTTGCTGTTGCTGTTGCTGTTGCTGTTGATGGTAGTGTTGTGATGTTGTCGTCGTCGTTGCTGCTGTTACTGTTGCTGCTGATGTCGTCGCCACGGTTGTGGCCCTGGGCACGGCCGTCGCTGTTGTTGGCATTGCGCTTGAATCAAAAACAAGTCTGTCCCGCGGTGTCTTCGTCGCTGCGCCTTCTGCTGCGTCTGCTGCGTCTGCTGCGTCTGCTGCGTCTGCTGCGTCTGCTGCGTCTGCTGCTGCTATTGGTCGCTGCTTCTGCAGTTGCACTCTTCCAGCGACAGGGGCACCAGCGGCTTCAGGTCGTCGAAGGTTAGCGGCTGCGACCCCAGCCCCCGCAGGACGCCCGTGGTGCAGAGGCGCAAGCAGTCGGAGCACCTGTTCGGACTCCTGCTGGAGATTGGTCGCATCAGCCACGCGGAAACCAGGCTGCTTCTGCGCGCAGGGACGATCCCGAGGTACTTTACGTCACTCGACGTTCGTGCACGCGGCTCGGGGGTGTTATAGTACAGGTGTACAGTCTTGAGGCGGTTTATAGTTTAGGAAGCGTTAACTGCTGTGTTTGCAAATAGCCTACCTCCGGAAAGTGTAGCTGAAAATAGAGAGAGAGAGAGAGAGAGAGAGAGAGAGAGAGAGAGAGAGAGAGAGAGAGAGAGAGAGAGAGAGAGAGAGAGAGAGAGAGAGAGAGAGAGAGAGAGAGAGAGAGAGAGAGAGAGAGAGAGAGAGAGGACTTGAGGGAAGTAGTTTTTTGGAGCAGATATGGCCGAGAAGTTGAGTTGGAGGTATGTGTGCGTGAAAATGTTCATGATTCCGATGTGGGGCTGGTCCTCTCGGGGGCACGTGCTGGATATCTTGGTACTGTGTGGTGCAGGCCTCCCCCCTCTCTTTTAATCATCCCATTTAACGTCGGTCCCTGCAATACACCTGTCGGCCTTTCGGTACAAATCTGGGCCTACGAGCCATGAAGAAGGCATGCCTTACAGGAGTTTCTCTCCTCCTTCTCTTCTGCGGTGCTCGCATCGACTTTGGTATCGCGAGAAGGATTCTTCAACCTTCCCTTGCCTCCCTTGGCAGGCAGTATCTACTCTTGCCCCGACTTTTAGTATGAGTACGCCTTTCTCCGCATAGACGCACTTTCCCGATGACGATGACGACTATTCATGTCACCGCCATCGACAACCATCCCCCGACAATGCCCCCCCCCCCCCCCAATCAAACACCCCACGAAATGCCGGCGACGCGGCCACAGAATTCTGCACGCCCTTCTGGGGGCCCCGCGCCCCGAGCCCCTCCCCCGGGAGCTGCTGCTGCGTTGCGGCGACGAGCACCCGGGGGGCTGGGGAGACTGTCGCGACAACAACGACGGCGACAACGACAACAACAACGACGGCGACAACGACAACAACAACGACGACGACGAGGGGGGCCTCCTCCCCCCCTCCGTTGTTGCTGCTGCGGCGGCGGCGGAGCCGCCCCCGAGCTCCTGGACGACCTTCACGACCGCCTTCGCCCCCTGCCTGAGGCTGCTGGCGGAGCTGGCGTGCTCCTGCGCCATGTCCGGGAACGAGCCCTCGCCGCTACTGTTCCCAGTGCCCGAGGCCTCTGCCGAAGGTGAATGATGTCTTGAGTCGGAGTTCGGTGTATGTACGGCAGCACAACATGACGTCATTCGGGATGTGTGTGTGCGTGAAATCTCTTGTGTCGGGTTGGCTTGTTGGAGGTTGTGTCTTAGGGATGGGCCTTGATTCTTGGTTGGCGTGCTTGGATTGCGAAGGTGGTGCCTTGAGTCGGGGTCGGATTGAAGGATTGCGGTTGGTGGCTGGGTTTTGACTTGTGATCGATGCTCGGGGAGCGGGTGGGGCTAGGGAGAGAGTCAGTGCTGGGATTGGATCGGGTTGCTCGGTTTTGAGGTATTTGGTTTTGGTTTGGAAGCGGGGTCGGGTGATTGGGCTGGGGTTCGGAATATTTTTCTCGTGAATGAATGTCTCATCTCCTCTACACTTTTCTCTGTTCCCCCCCCCCGTCCAGAGCTGACGACAACCAGCAGCAGCGACACGCAACCCGCGGCCGGCAACGACGACAATGCTTCCGCCTCCGCAGCGGCCGCCCGCCGCCCCATCAAGGCGGTCTTGTCGGTGCCCGCCCGCGTGCTCGGGGCTTGCCTGCCGGACACGATGGACGAGGACCTCAAGGACAAGGTCGGGGAGGAGCTGGTCGTCCTGCCCAACGACGCCGAGGCCAGGATGCTCACGAACGCGGCTGTCCTAGAGATCCTCTTCATGGGCAGGCCCAAGCCCACGATGGCCCTCGGGCTGATGCCGCTCGCCCACCACGCGGAGCAGCTGCGGTGCCTCCTTCGGCTGTCGAAGGTGTGATTGATGATGACAAGTAGCCTTCGCAGAGTTTTGTTTTGATTTGTTTTGAGTAAACGCGTTGGATGAAGCATGCAATCGGGGAAAGTTAAAGGTGGTTTAGGGTTAGGGTTATAGGTGCGTACCCCCTCCCTGTTATATTTCCTCATAAAACTTAATTTATCGCGAAGGCGGTCCGATGGTGATGAACAGCAGCGTGGTCGATGTAGTGTGGTATGGAGCAAGTTCTTGGGGGGGGGGGGGAGGGGGGGGCTTCGTGGTCTGGTGTCGACCGAGAAGTTTATCGTAGGAAAAGGGGCGGGCGGTTGTTCGAACGGTTTTGAAAAGGACCGCTACAATGTGACGATGTGAGTGAAAAGAAAACGGCGTGAGTTTTGTGCGCGGTTCTTAGTTTCTCTTCGTCTTTCTTTTTCCCGCAAGTTACGGCTTGTTCGTCCTTGTTGGTTCTCCCTCATTGCACTCATTTGTGGCAGTGGTCGCGTTTTACCGCTGCTGTGAAGCAGGCCTAATGTATTTGCGACGTGTTCCTGGCTCCGTCAAGCCTTGCTGTTAGAAAAGAAGCCGTCTTGTTGGTTCTGTTGATTGTGGACTTTAATTTTGCTCGTTTGTTGTCACTGTTTTTTTTTGCGTCCAGCACCTATGCTGGAACAACACCAGGACAACTCACGCTGTGTTGTGCGAGTGCGCTCGCGGGCTGCACGAGGGACAGATGCCCAGTTTCCACATGCACCTCAGGGTGCTCCTGGGACTCGTCGGCGTCATGGACAGGTGAGCCAAACAGGCGTCACTACGGTCGTGGCTCCGATATAGAGGGGTGGTGTGACAAAGGCCCTCAACCCTCTTATATCGGAGCCCCCTCTCGAACCGGAATAAGAGGGTCCCCAACTGCACTATAGCGGGTCGAGTTCGTGACAACCAATTCCGACTCTCTTATCTCGGAGCCCCCTCTCTTGTAAGGTGCCCTCTTATATCGAAATATAAGTTACCTATACAGATGTTTTTGTACTTAGCACCAGCTGGCATCACTGGTATAAATCATCAGTGTATAGACTTAAAAATACTCGAAATACGTCCAGTACCCAGCCGGTTTCCCTCCACTCACTGAAAAGACTCCACCACATCCCGTTCGACTGTGGGTATATCTCGAATGGGTAGTCTTTCTGTGTGTGTTTTTATTATTCCTTAATCGGAGCCATGACTGTACGTCTGCTGCTGTTGGTTGTGGTAGAAGTGGCGTTGTGGCACTTGTTAATTGGTGCAATTGGTGAGGTGCTAACTGTCCCCCCCCCCCCGACCCGTGCTCATTGCATTCCGCGTATCCCCTTGCTTGGTTTTCACGTGCGTATTCTGCACGGCCGCCGCCGCTGCTGCTGCGAACAGGTACACCCACATGCGGATTCGCCAAGTGTCCAATCACGTCATCAGGGCTGCCGAGATGAACATGGACTACCCGAAGGAGGTATAATTGTACCGCAACAGGTGTTGTGCCGATTGCTCGGTGTGGGGATGGGGGGGGGATGGGTCAAACATTTTGACACATCCACTCTTCGCACTATTGGTTAAGCTGTTGTCCCCTTTTCCGGTTCTACCGCTACCCTTTGACTACCCCCCCCCCCTCCCCCCACGGCCTACAGTAGCCCTCAACTCTCGTGCCCCTCTCCACCTGCCCGACGCCGCTTTCTGCCCTCTTGATCATCACTACCAACAGTGTTCGGAGATCCTGGGCGTGTTCGCGAAGGCCCTTCTCGGCATGACGCCCGACCTGGTGCCCCTCGAGCTTCTCGACGCCCTCCGCGGCACCCTGCAGGACCACACCGAGTCGCTGGTGACCAGCTTCCTGCTCAACGTCAGGCTGCCCTCGGACGCCCGCCAGGCGGCCGCCCTCTGCCTCCTCCTGGAGGTCCCGCGGGTGTGGGCCCTCAACGGGTCCCCGACTCCGACGGGGATTCCCTACCGCCGGCCCCCCGCCGCCGCCGCGGAGCACGGCACCGGCGGCAGTGGCAACGCCTCCTTCGTGTCCGCTGCTACTGCCGCTTCGGCAACCGGCACTACCGCCGCCGCTGCGTCGGGGGGAACCGGGGCAGAGGCTTGGGCGGGGGTTACCCAGCAGCAGCAGCAGCAACAGGGCACCACCGCTGCTGCTGCGGCGGCGGCGGCGACGACGGGCTCGCGGTGGGGCCGCGGGGGAGGGGACGCCGGGGCGCGGGAGAGGGAGGACCAGCTCCGGAAACAGGCAGAGGTGATGGAAAACCCGTACCGTGGAGTGTAGACGGTTGTTGCATGTGTGCGAAATGACGACGGCAACAAAACGGCCTCTTCCCCCGAAAACGGGTTTGTTGGGTAGACGTTGGCAATCGGTCTGAGTCGGTTTCAGGCCTTCTTCTTGCCTCTACTCTTGAAAGGCAAAGATAGTTTCTTTCCCTTGTGACAAAGGCGTAGTCACCGCAAAAGGCACTCAAACAAAGCTGCTACGAAAATAAACGGGAAAGCATAAAAAGAAGGTGCCATGTACGGTAAGTCGTTCGTTGGCCCGCTGTTGGGTGATGTATTGCGGAGGGCATTGTACATAGTTCAGGGTGATGTATAGCATGGAAGGCGACAAGGAATGAGGAAGGAAGCGGTAAACTGCAGCAACAACAACCTGAGTGAGCAGGGCTATGACAAAAGCGATCACGACAACGACAACAACAACAAGAACGACCTGAATGAACAATGGCCTAACAACGACGACGACGACGACGACGACACAGGATGCGGCGGAGACCCAAGCAGTGGCTGCAGCTTTCGCCGACACGGACTACGCGATGCGGCCTGATGAGGGCAACATGAGCACGGGCAGCAGTGACGAGGTCAGGCAGTGTAGATAGCAAGCCTACGGTCGTAACGCACTGCTCCTGGGGCACGATCAAACCTGAAGTTGTCGTGGTCACCGTCATTGTTGAGGCTGTTTTTTTTTTGTGTGTGTTTTTGCGTAAGCAGATTTGGTTCATTTTTTCTTTTCCTCGACAACCAAAAGCTGCCGCCGCCGCCGTCGTCGTCGTCGTCGTCGTCATCGTTGTCGTCGCTGGTGCTCTTGTTCTTGTTCTTGTTCTTGTTCCTGTTCTTGTCGTCGTCGTCGCTGTTGTCGGGGCTGTTTTTTGTTGTGGTTGTTTGCGCAAAAGCAGCTTCGTTCATTTTTGTCATTTCCTCCGGGTCTTTCTGCCGCAGGTCCAGATTGTTGGTGTTGTTCCCGGCAAAACGGGTTCCGTAGGGGGCACCGTGAATGGCGGTGATCATGGTGGGTCCCTCGATTCTGGGTCCCCTCGCCCTTACGGCCCTCAGCGGCAGCAGCAGCAGCAGCAGGAGCAGGAGCAGGGGCAGGAGGGAGGCGTTGGTGGAGAAGCCAATGGGGGTGAGGGATTTTTGTTTTTGCTTGTTTTTGGCTTTTTTTTTTAATTTGTTCCTTTTGTTTTGATATGACCTTTGTTTTTAGCGTTGTTTGAGTGTGTCGTGTGCCGTAGACAAAGAAGCTCAACGCTCTAGACCCTAAAGTTCCGAGTATCGGGTTTCAAAAGTAGATCAAAATAGAGCAATCATCCCCCACCCACCACGTGTGTTTTTGTCGAATTGCTGTCGCGGGTATGACCGTGACCATGCTGCTGTATCCGGTGATGGTCGTATCTGCCGTGATCGTGAAGGTCGGGCCGCCGAAGCGCAGCAGCAGCCGCAGCAGGCAGGGCAGCAGCAGGAGGAAGTTGAGGAGGGGGAGGACCTCTCCGAGATGTGTATTCACGATGCCCTTTGGCTGCTGAGCAGGCTCATGAAGGAGTTACCGGAGATGGTTAACATCATAGAGGTAAGACACACGGACACAAGGCAGGGCGTTGATACATATAACCCAAACACCACCACCACCACCAGCATCAACAACAAGCACGGCAATGGCAATACCGCGATTTAGGCGCACGGGAACAACAACATAACAACAATACGACACTACCAACAACAAACTTTCGCACCAGTAATACATCAATAACAATCGCGACAATGACAATGACTGACAATAGGCTCACGGGAAGACCCACCAGCCAATGCAGTTCGTGGAGATGATCCAGGCGATGATCACCCTCTCGACCGGTAGCCAACTCGAGAAGGCACATCTGGCGGGGCACCTCCCCGCCATTTTCAAGCTCCTCTTCAAGCTTGACAGGTGAGTCTTACCCTTGTTGCGGTGATTTTAAGGTCCTCTGTTTCTCTTACATTGTGCAATAGGTTTTCTTGATACAAGCCCCCCCTTTTCTTGCATCAAATCCGGGATTTCACATATAATAGTACAAGATGCAGGGGCCGTGGGGCGGGGGTTGCGGCCGCATCATTGTCGGAGATTTTCTCAAGAAGGAAACAGCGCTGTTGTTCGTGGGGAGGGTGTGGTATCGTTGTAGTGGGACGAACCACCGATCTGGAGTTGGTTGTTCGTAGTCTCAAGACCTCATGACCTCAGAATCAGGCGGCGGGAGGGGGTGACCGACCCCTCGGAGGAGTTTGCTACAAAACACGGTCGGGTAAACGCAGTTGATCGGGGTATGCATATGTCGCAACATATGATGGTATCGTAAACAATCAGCGCGACTTCCAGTACGCGGACGTCTCGCCATAAAACAATAAAGAAAAAAATCATGTGCATACAAGGCGGCCAAGTTTCCTTTGTTCTTGTTTCTTCCGTTGGCGTCAAAAAGGCGCCGCAGATCACATAATGACCATCGTTTTTTTCCCGAGCTTCTTGTGTGGTTTGGAGTTCGTTTCTCGTAGATTTTCTGTTCATCTGTCAGTCTCCCGCTCTCTCTTTTTGTCTCTCTCTTTCTCTCCCCCCCCCCTCTCTCTCTCCCTTTCTGTCTCTCTCTTTGTCTCTCTCTGGCTCTCCCTCTTCCTCTGGCCGTTTCTTATGCTACGAACGATGTCTGTGATGGCACGGTATCAGACTGAGACGAGAGAACGACCACACCAAGGGAGTTTTGCTGGAGTTCATATGCGATGCGATGGAGAAGCACCCGGAGCTGTACGTCTGCTTGAAGGACGTGAGGAGAGGTCTTCGTTGTTGTTGCTGTTGTTTAGCTGTTTGTCTTTGTTGCTGTTGGTTGGTTATCTGATGACGCTGTTGCTGCTGCTCTTGTTGCGGGGGTTGGTGTCGTTGTCCTGTTTGGCGGATGAAATTCTCCCTCACAAAGTTTTCTCGTTTCGTGAACACAACATACGACACAGCGACAGCAGTGCCGCAGGTTGCATAAGATACCACATTCCCTTGGACCGATTTTCAAAGCTTGGTTGCTCGGCTGGGAAAACGATGACGGTGCCGCAAAAGGCGGAGTTAGAACCGTCCCGCCGAGAGCTTTCCGAGCACGTATCGTTTGCCTTCGGCATCCTCTTGGTCGTGGAGTAATCGATCTTTGAAAATCGGTCCAGGGGGTGTGGTATCTTACGTAAACTCCGGTGTGTACTTGGCGGTGACGACACAGACAATTTTCCTCGAAAGACGTTACCGTTGGTAGCAGCAACAGCCACGTTTGCGTTCACAACAACGCGCGTTTTGCAGGAGACGATCGTGCAAGGGTTGACGATGTTCTTCGTCCTCTGGCACGACAAGAAAGCCAGCATCGAGTACAACGCGACCTACTCGTCCATGTACTACGACCTCCTGCTGAAGGGGTGCCTGCTGTACCCCTCTTTCCTGGAAGCCGTCAAGTCCGCCAGCAGCCTCATTTGGTAAGCTAAGATGTGTTGTTGTTGTTCAAGTAGGTTCAGCTTTGTTCCTTCATAAGAAGCCTGCAGTTCGAGGGCTCCGCCCTGATTTGTCATATTCAGCACCAATATTCTCGTTTCTCTTTCTCCTTGTACCACTAGCCGGAATACGCTCAGACCGCCTTACCGTGCGTGGCGATTGTCTTTGCATCGATCGTGGTAACCTGCTGACCAACGAACAGAAAAGACCCCAGTCTTCTACTACAAAGGGATAGTTCACTCGAACAACGCGCTCTAGTAGTTCGTAGGCGGAGTGCGCGTGTTTTGGTTGATACGTACCTAGGCGGTGCACTGCTCAACGAAACTCGCTCTCACCCTGTGTTGTACTTTGGTATGTACTCTGTTTTTTTGCAGGAGCATGGAGTGGTTTCTACTCAGGGGATACGCCCCATCCTTCAAGATGGCGACGACGCTCATGTCGATCTTCACGCTCTGCCTACGGAAGTACGGCGCGGGGTACGCCAGCCACGCTCTCTCGTGGACTCTCGGGCCTCATGCCAAGGAGGTCTACCTCAAGGTGAGCTTGTTGCGTGCCCCCGCCTCACCCGCACCTTGATGCTGCCGTATGCGACTCTGTTGTTGTTGTTGTTGTTGTTGTTGTTGTTGTTGTTCTGTCATTGATGATAGTGAACTTTATGGTTTTGTCGCTGATGGTGCCGTGGCGACTGACTCTGTTCGACTCGACCAGGTGGGAGACGGGCCGAACCCGCGCCTACCGTTGTACGCTCTGTGGATGATCGAGGCTTGCGTCCGCCGGCCACAGTCCGGGTGGGACTCCGGTCCGGAGGGCGACGCCATGGAGACGTTCATCAAGTGCGGAGGGCTCGATCAGGTGAAGATTTATTTACGTTGTTGTTGGTGGTGGTGGTGGTGTTGGTGGTGGTGAGTGGTGGTGTTTGTTGCTGTTGCTGTTGTTGCTGTTGTTGGCGTTTCTCCGGTCGGCGCAGTCCATTAAACGTAGGGGCTTAGCTCCTAAACAATTTTTTGCTTTTAATTGCTCTTGAGGCTCGAGCTGCCTTCATTTGCCTTGATCGGTCAGCCTTTTTCGTACGGTCGATGGTGGTGTTTCTGTCGCGAAAGAAAGCTGCCCTGCCCGTCGGGGGACCCGGTGGGCTTGAATTTTGTTTCGGTTTTTGCCCCCCGCAGGAATTTGTCTTGTGTCCGTTGATCACCCGACTAGCGTCGTCGACCCCCTAAGTTTTGACGAACTGGGTTCATATAGTGGCACACGTTGTGTTTTGAGTGCCGTGAATCCGGAGGTTGGATCCATGTGTTCAATCTCCTACCCTGTCACAGCCCAGGCGGAATAGAATAACGATTTTTTGGTCTCAGGGACGGAGATCTTGTCTTTGGCGGGCCGCTCGGGTAGCGCGGTAGTTGCCAACGATACAACGCTCACGCACACGCGCGCGCGCACACACACACAGGTGACAGAGCTTCTGGCGCACGTGATGCACTACTACACCACGGAGAGAACCCTTCGGCAGCAGCAGCAGCAGCAGCAGCAACGCCAGCAGCAGACATCCTTCGGCCGCTCGTCCCCATCCTCGCACTACGGCGGAGGGGCCGGGTCCCCGCAGGAGGTTCGACGAAAGGTGACCGTACTCTGCGAGAGGGTGATCCTGAGCGTGCACGGCTGGCTCAACGAGGGCCGGGAGGTCGTGGTCCCCTCGCTGCGTCGTCGCGATCAAGGAGGGGGAGGAGGGCCGTCGTCGTCGAGAAGAAGGGGGGCCACGCAGGCGGGAACTGCGGGGTCAGGGGGGGGCGCTTCGACGAGAAGAGCAACGACAACGGCACCGTCCGTGGGTAGTGGACGCAAGCGAGCGCGAGGGGAGGGGGGTGCCAGGGTCCCCGCTGTTGGGGGCAGGAGTGGGGGTGGCGGCGTGGATGGGTCTGAGCCGGCGTCAACGGCGACGGGGGCGGCAGCACCAGCAGAAGCGCAAGTTGGCGGTGAAGACGTCGACTCTGTAGAGAGAGGGGTGCGAGGGCAGCAGCAACCGCAGCAGCAACCACAGCAGCAGCAGCAGCAGCAACCTGTCGCAGCGACAGCGGCAGCGCCGCCGCCAGCATCATCATCATCAGCAGCAGCAGCAGCCGGGGCAAAGGCCGCGGACGATGGTGACGACCACGATGGCGATGCGGCACCGCCGGAAGGGGGAAACAGCGACCGGTCGGTGCCGGGCAAGGGGAAGAGCAGCTTCAGCGTGAGCGTTACTGTCGGCGGGGACAAGGGTGGGGGTAGGGGGCGGGGGAGGAGAAGAAGGGCTTCCGCTAGAGAGGATGGAGAGGATGTCGAGATGGAAGACGCTAACGATGTGGCGGGTGATGCGGATGAGGCTGAGGCTGAGGCAAGGCGGGGGGAAGAAAAGGAGCAACAGGTGAGGGGGGGGGGGGTGCCGCGCGAGAGTACCGCTTGAAGCCTGATTTGAAGTGTGAAGTTCCTGGGTGAACGTTTTCCCTACGACTTATTCTTGTTGCCGAGGAGTCCTCTATTCTCCCCATTTGTAGGGAGCGCTGAATCACAGCGTTAACTCTGTTGTTGCGTCGGCTTTGGGGACACAATTCCAAAAATATCACTGCGACGTTCATATCAGACCAAAAAAGAATTGAGCACCTACGTCCTTGGTTGAAGTAGGCGCTGCGTGACGTCCTGCCCCCCACGTCTGCCATTTGTTTTGCCTTTTTTTTTTTCCAGCGCCGACGTGAGTGTCGTCGCAAGAGGCTGGCCTTGCTGGTGAACAAGTGGACCCATGCCGGCGTAGCGTGCCGGTGGCTGTTGCAGCACCTCTTGACTTCGGAACAGAGTCAGGCGCTTGTTGCTGCCGCTGCCGCTGCCGCTGCCGCTGCTGCGGCTGGCGCACCGCCCGGGCAGGGAGGGGTCTGCTGGGACCGGGGACGTGTTGGAGGCAACAGGCGAGAGCAGTACTGCCTTGTGTGTCGCCTAGACTCCCATGATATGTAGTGGGCTTGAAAGGAGACGAGGCACGTTGAGAGAGGGGGGTCTCGTGTAGTCCACACCAACAACAGTGAACTTCTGGAGACAGCCGGAGAATGAAAGAGGGGGAGAGGGAGAGACAGACAGACAGACAGACAGACAGACAGACAGACAGACAGACAGACAGACAGACAGACAGAGAGAGAGAGAGAGAACGCACGCCTCTCCGCTGGTTCTAGTCCTCCTGGGAAGTTATTTCACAAGAAAAAACACAGAAAAACTTACACTTTAATCCCCTCCTCGCCTTTCTTTTCGGAGATAAACTTCAAAGCTCTCCCTTTTCTTTCTTTTCCGATGGTTTGTTGATATGGCTCCTGGATATCTTCCTCGATAGTCCTCTGGATATCATTCATGTATTTCTGGAAGAAGAAAGGCCGGGAGGAGAAATTCGAGGTGTTTCCCACCGCAGCCACCAGTGACGTTTCCGAAGCTCGAACAGTTGACGTGTTTTTGACTCGAAGAGCCCAGCATAATATACGAATCTGTATACACTCTTATCCGCAATCAACGCCGGAAGAGCAAGGAGTCGGGGTGTTTTGTGGTTTCCAGTCGCTTTTACCGGGTCGTTTTTGTTGCTCCCCCCCCCCCCCCGGGGTTTCCTCCCTTGGGAAAGAAGTTGTAAAAAAAGCCCCCCCCCCCCGGGTTTGCCCTAAGGGGTTGGGTTTTCCTCCCTTGGGAACCACCTTTTAAAAAAAACCCCCCCCTCCGGGGTTGCCCACCGGAATGGGTTTTCCTCCCTTGGGAACCACCTTGTAAAAAAAGCCAATTTACTTTCTGAAATCCGGAACCAGGGTAACCGCTTTTTTTTTTTTTGGGGAACCCAAAAGGGGGGCCAAGAAAAAAAGGTGGGGGGGGGCCAAAAAACCCCCTCCCCCCCAACGGGGAAGAACCCCCCCCCTTGGGGTAAAAAGGGCAAAGCTTCCCCAGGCAGGTAAACAGTGGTTAAAAATGTCTCCGGGAATGGAAACCCCCCAAAAAAAAATAA